GTTATCATTGATAAATTGCAAACCGAATTAAAAAAACGAAGCTCAGCTTATGACAATATAACAAACCTTTTTGGATTTTTGACTCGTTTGGACGTGATTGATGATAATTTATTGAAAAAATCCGTAAATAATTTAGTCAAAGTTTACTCTCGTGATCTAGAAGAAAGTCTATACGACGAATTGAAACAATTCATTGGTATGGTTAAAGTCAAGGAAGATAATAAATTAATAAAAAAACCCGGTTAACATGTTAAAAATGATTGTTGAAGATAATCTCTCGGGCGTTTTTCCACATATTTATGTAGCGTTCCGAATTTTTTTAAGTATACCAGTTACCAACTGTGAAAGTGAACGATCTTTTTCTGCACTAACAATAATTAAAAATAAATATCGTTGTATGATGGGTGAATCAAGAATGACATCTCTTTCTATTCTTTCAATAGAGTGTGAATTGACTATGAATATTTCATTTGAAAATATTATAAGACAATTTGCCCAGGAAAAATCCAGGAAAAAGTTTTTCAAACATAATATTATATAAGATTAAAAATATGTGTATATTTTTTTTATTGCATATGCCGAAAAATTTATAATATGATATAAGAATAAAATCTCTATTATATAAAAATAAGTCCGGTTTTCCTCCCTGACGCTATAACTCCAGAACGCACGAACCGATTTCCACGGTTTTGCATTCGTTGGAAAGGTCTTGGGCTCCGTGAGGTTTATAGCAAAGAAAATTCTGGAAAATTCAGGAAAAATTCAACAGAAAAGTGGGGAAATCGTTTTTCACATACAGCGCCATCTATTATACATAGCATGTACTTCAAACCAATAGCAACGGTGCGTGATAAAGTGTGTGATAGATAGTCATTATTCTCTGCTCAGTTAATTTCATTTAAGCTCAGTGTAAATTATGTGGATCGTGCATTTGAAGTTAAATTCAACACTCTGTCCATAGTCCAAAATGCCTAGAGAACGACGTGCAAGCCAGCAACAAGTCTATTCAAGGAACTTAAGAGAAGAAAGAAAAAATATAATAAGAGAAAATGACCGATTGAGACATCGCGTGAGCACACGAAGATCATTGGCATCATACAATCGCTTGGCATTCCAATATGATCCCACTGCGAACTACAGTGATGATGAAAATTTGGATATTGGACGAATGACGACTATATGCCGATATTGCAATGCGGTAAAGTTCAAAAGAGAAACGGTTGGATTGTGCTGCGCAAGTGGAAAAGTCAAACTGGATCCATTACTTACACCACCACAGCCACTGAAAACATTGTTTGATGGAAGTGATCCCGATTCCAGCCATTTTCTTCAACAATCCTTGAATACAATAACTGCTTTCGCATGACTTCCTTTGGAGCTAATATCATTCGAGAAGGCGGCTTCATGCCGACTTGCAAGGTAAAAGATACAACACACATAACCAACACATAATTGCAACACATAACAACTTCATATACACCACACACTACACCAGTTAAAGTTCAAAATCAAGAGATTGAGATCGGAAATGAATTCATTGTACCATATTGCCCGCTGCTATCACGAATTTTCGAAACACATGCAAACGTTGAGAGTTGTCATTCGGCCAAATCAATCAAATATTTGTGCAAGTACGTCACAAAAGGCAGCGACATGACATAACAACATCTTTGGCGGCTTGATGATATTGTTGGCAGGCGATTTCAGGCAGACGTTGCCAGTAGTTCCCCGTGGAACGCCTGCAGATGAATTGAATGCTTGCCTAAAGGCATCACCTTTATGGAATAACGTAAAAACATTATCGCTAACCACTAATATGAGAGTTCAACTTCAAAATGATCAAAGTGCTGCACAATTTTCCAAACAATTGTTAGATCTTGGAAATGGAAAAGTCCCAGTTGATGCGACATCTGGATTAATTACTCTTACCAACGACTTTTGCCGATTTGTAGACACTCAATTAGTTCTTATTGAAAATGTTTTCCCAAACATTAGTGAGAATTATAAGAATTATGCTTGGTTAAGTCAACGAGCAATTCTTGCAGCAAAGAATAATGATGTCCACGCACTGAATTTCACCATTCAATCAAAAATTGCTGGCGATTTGGTGACATACAAATCCGTTGATTCAATAACAAATCCCGATGATGTAGTAAATTATCCAACGGAGTTTTTGAACTCTCTGGAGATACCAGGATTTCCACCACATAACTTGCAACTGAAAGTTGGTACAGTTATTTTGATACTGCGTAATTTGAATCCACCGCGACTTTGCAACGGTACTCGACTTTCGGTAAAGAGACTTATGCCGAATTTAATTGAGGCAACCATTATTAACGGAAAGTACGCAGGTGAAAATGTATGTATTCCTCGAATACCAATGATTCCGACTGATCTTCCGTTTGACTTCAAACGATTGCAATTCCCAGTTCGCCTTGCGTTCGCAATGACAATTAATAAGTCGCAAGGCCAATCGCTTAGTGTTTGCGGGATAAATTTGGAAAATCATTGTTTTTCACATGGACAGTTATACGTTGCGTGTTCACGAGTTGGGAAACCATCCGCTTTGTTTGTGTTAACGTCAGACCAAAAAACAAAAAATGTGGTTTACCAAAGAGCACTACAATGAAACAATTTTAGTAGGTAATTGAAATGAATTTATTACTGTTGTGAAATGAAATAAATATTTTCCTTTTCAAATATATAACAAAAAAATTGTTTTTCTTTATCTTTTAATCACCAAACGAAATGTTACATAAAACGAATCTGGTGGCGAAACGGAGTTCGCCGGGTCTGCTAGTGTTATTTAAAAAAAATGCTATGCTTATTTTAATTTATATTTATTACAAATTAATAAATCAGAAGAAAAAAAGGAAATTGTTTTAGGTGAAAAGGCCTCAATAAAAGTAATAGCCCCCCTTAAATTATGATCATAATCCGGCCCTGTCTCTCCCCCACACACTTCCCAACCAACTCCAGATACAGACCTGACATAATCGACCTCGCTCTCGTTCGACTACCCTACGCGACCCAAATCAATAACCTCAACGAACTTTCCTCAGACCACAACCCTATCCTTCTGGAGATCCTGTATACCCCAATATCATTATCCCCTCCAACTACAAACCGCTTCATGAACTGGACAAAATACAAAACAATCCTTACAAACCTACCTAACATAAATAGACAACCGACCAATGACAGTCAGTCAATCAATTTGGCAATCGATTGTCTGACTAAAAACATACAACACGCAATCGAAGCTAGCGTTTTCACACCCAAAACTAAAAATTCCTCATTTCTACTCCCAAACTACATAAAAACCGAAATTACTGACAAAAACAGACTACGCCGCGAATGGCAAAGAAACCGCAACCCGACCACTAAACGTTTACTAAACACCAAAACCTCACTTATCCGTACCTTACTCGAAACTCATAAAACCGACCAACTCACTCGACCCACATGACTGATCTGTATACAAACTTAACAAATGCCTCCTCCACAAACGTCCAGCTTCCCACCCACTGATCGGCCCCAACGGTCTAGTCTTCTCGTCCAAGGATCGTGCTGAACTGATAGCCGATTCTCTCGAACGCCAACACACGGACACACACCAACTGAACCTAGCAACCACCTGGTTTCACCGTTGGCGCATAAAAATTAACTCAATCAAAACTATAGGCATTCTATTCGGTCACTCTAACACAACCAACATCCCACCACTACTACTTGACAACCACACCGTTAACTGGTCCCAACAAGTCAAATGCCTGGGCGTAACAATAGGGCGCAGGCTTACCTTCGGTCAACACGTCCAAGACATCATCAAAAAGGCTACCCTCACCCGCGGCATACTGTACCCTATTCTAAATAGATCGAGCCCCATCCCACATTCGACAAAACTCAACATACTCAAACTATACGTTTTACTCCCCCGTTCTCACCTACGCTGGCTCTTCTTGGGTACCTTTCATCGATCCCTCACTTTGGAAGCATATCGAATATGTTCAGAGCACCGGTATACGTACAATAACGGGTAAGTCTACTATTGTCAAAAATTCGGTTCTTCATAAATCTGCAAACTTCAAATCCATCCAAACTTCTATTCAATCCCAATCCAAATCGATGTTCTAAAAAAACTCTTTCTCTGATCATGACCATATCCGACTTCTAGGTAAAACTCACACGCCTCCAACTACCAAAAAACAAATCAAACCCTACCCTTTTACATGGATTAACCACTAAGAAACTCATCAAATTCCATCCACTAGTAAAGGCGCAAGCTTGGTATAGTTAACAGCATAGCCATCCCCCCCCCCCCCAAAGCAAAGCAAAGCGATAAGCATCTTCCCCTCGCCGTCGCTTCTAAAAGTGATTGGTATATGTATATTAGGTGCAGAACTCTGGGTACAATTTACTTGTATTGTCGGGTTGCCTGGCCGAAATATATACACCACCACTAGCAGTTGTCGACGACGATAACGTCGCCGCCGTTCACTACCGTTGCCGCCGTTCACAGCCTTTGCACCCGTGTACTACTGTTGCTGCCGTGCACTACCGTAGCCGCCGTGCACTGCCGTTGCCTTCGTGCACTGACAGTGTCGCTGTTCACTACTGCTATCACCATCAACACAGTCGTTCGCCGGACGCCTTTACTATTGGTCAGTTGTTCATCTAATAGTAGTCGTTATACTCCTGGGTATCAGTTATCTGTATTATCGGAGTATTGTGTTGTTGTACTCTCGTGTATCAATTGTCTGTACTATTGGAAGTGATAACATAATTTGTATACATTTGTACTATATTCCTTATTATATTATGTGTAAAATATTAAATATATACTTAATAAAGAATTATTACTATTTATTGTAATATATAAAATAAATTGTATGATTGTTGAAAATATTAATTTGTCTTCAAACCACAATCATTACACACTACTAAAGGAAAGCATGAAAATGGAGTAGGTTGCATAGTACACAACAAGATACTACCAAATGTCAAAACCTTCTCAGCCTTTAATGATAGAATTTGCTATATCCGTATAGCGGGAAAGATATTTGACTTAATTATCATAAACTGTTATGCCCCAACAAAGGAAAAAGATGTAGACATAAAGGACAAATTCTATGAAGAACTAGAAAGTGTATATGAAACTTTACCGTTGCACAGTATAAAGATAGTAGTAGGTGATGTGAACGCGAAAGTTGGAAAAGAACATATGTATAGACCGGTTATAGGACCTAACAGTCTACATGAAATTAGTTACAGAAATGGAACCAAACTAATAAATTTTGCACAATCAATGAATTGTATAATAAGCAGTACATACTTTCCCAGAAAAAATATACACAAACTCACTTGGAAATCCACTGATGGAAGAACATTTAATCAAATTGACCACATACTTATCGACAGGAAATTTAAGGGATGCATAAGGAATGTGAGAACGTATAGAAGAGCTCATGCAGACTAAGACCACTACCTAGTGTCTACGAAATTTAACCTGAGACTGGCAATAAAATGGAATTTGGAAAAAAGAAACTTAAAATAAAGTTCGACACACAAAAATTAAATGATACTGAAATAAATTATAATTACGTTGAGAAAATTGCACATAAATTACAAAATATTAATATAAATCAAATAAGCTATAGTACAGAAACTGATACGATTTGGAACAGAACAAAGGAAGCGGTGATTAATAGTACAACAGAGATTCTAGGAATGAAACCAAAAGAAAATAATAAAAACTGGTTCAACGATATATGTAAGAATGCAATAATCAGAAGAAACGAACTGAGGAAAAAAAGCACTACAAAATACATCAAGCGAATGCATAAGAGAATATGAAGAACAAAGAAAATTGACAAATAAAGTGTTAAGGAGAGAAAAACGTCTATACGAAAAGAAGAAAATAGAAGAAATAGAAATTAATAGATACAATGTAAAAAAGTTTTTCAAAATGACCGGGGAGGTAAAAGTTGGCTTTAAGCCACAAACAAGGATCTTAGTTGACGGTACGAGAACTATGATCACAGAAGAAAAACTAGTCATTAACCAATTCAAGGAACATTTCAAAGATCTCCTGAACCGACCCACAATTGGGCATGATTTAAACCCAAGCGAAGACTGCCAAACAGCAGAAATATCATAGATACAGACACTCCCAAATACGAAGAAATTGAGAGTTTAATTAAGAGGCTTAAAAACAACAAAGCCCCAGGAGAGAACAGCATAGTAGTAGAATTACTTAAAAAAGGTGGTACAATGTTGGTGAGCAAAATTACAGAAGTTATTAAGACAATATGGAAAACTGAGACAATTATTTGTTATTTTATTTACAGTTATTAATTTATATTCTCTTTATTCCAAAGTGTTTTTCATTGTTTAATAAATATTTACAGATATTAATTAATTAATTTTTTATTCCAAAGATTCGTTTATTGATTATGTTTATTTACAGTATAAACATTTACAGTTATAAATTTATATTTTTACCCATTTGAGTAAAGGTTTTTTTTTTAACAATAAAATTTGAAATAAATTTGATGATTGTTGTTGTAATGAAATTCGTCAAAAT